GGGGGGGGGGGGGGGGGGGAAGAGGGCAAAAAATTAAAATGCTAAAATAAAAGCGAGTTTGAGCCAAAATCTCTAAATTCTTGTTTATGGCAGTTAAGTAGTTCCCTTTTAATTTTTACCAAGCATTGTTACCTCAATTTTGTCTATAACACATTTTTGAGAGCGCTCCAAAATAATGCTGATATCAGCAATTTTGATCTTTTCAAGAGGAACTAATCGTTTGAATTCAAAATTTGGGAGGAATGTTTGTAGTAATGACATGCAAAACATAAAAAACACCCAGTTTTGCGACTCGTGTTTTAAATTTTTCTGGTTTCAAGTGTAACAGTGTAGTGTTCATCCGGAATTTCACTTTGTCCCAATTACTGCGCTCCTAAATTTCACCCTCGATGCCCCCTCTAGCGTTAAATCTCTTTGACGTTGACAGCGTATTTTTCAAATACCATTTAATTAAAGCTGAATCGGCCCAAATTAATCGTTGTGTGCAATCAATTAATCGGCCCAATTAATCATTAATCGGCCCAATTAATCGTACCTTTAGGCTGTGAAATAAAGTCGCAATGTAACCATTATTTTAAGATTTTTCTTCATTTTTAATCCATGGGCCGGACCTTGTTCAAAGCTGGGTTAGCTTAACCCTGGGTTAACCTAAAATTCAAAGCAAACTTCCTGACAGCTTGTCCATAAATTTGGAAATATTTCTTCAGAGATCTTGTCTGGATCGATAGGAGTTTACTTCTCTGAAGTTTTGAAATAAACAGACGTGTAGAAATTATACACAAACTAAAACAGCAGGTTAAATTTAACCCAGGGTTAGCGCTAACTCAACTTTGAACAACCGGCCCCATATCTTGTATTTTCAAGGTTTATCTATTCGACATATTTTGAGAACAAACTTTAATTAGATGTCAAAATGGATGAACGTTCCACAATGTGACAATGAGCAACTGTACTTACTGTGAATACAAAGCCAGAACCTTTGAATTGACAAGAAGCATCGCATGCTTCGCTTGCGGATCTCCTTCCTTATTTGCTTTACTTATGACAGACTCAAGTAAATGAATACTCATCTCATTCACTCGTTGATTCACTTGAATCATTTCATTTGCTTCCACAAGAAATCCTTGCTGTTGACAGCAAAGAAAACAATATGTCTGCAAAATAGTACTCAGAGATTCCCATAAGTGTTTACGTGACTCTCTACTGTCGGGTTTTAAAAGTTCTGTATTTGGTCCGAAATGAAAACGTATCAGGCATTGGAATAGCCGAAGTTTCCGTCGCAAGAACTCCTCAGATTCTTGGCCATCACCATTCAAAACAAAATAGACATAGTCATCCCTCTGTGATATAAACAATGAAAAATGATAGAATATATCTTATTAGTAACTTAGCCCACATTCAATTCAAATTTACGTCAATCTCTTATATATTTGGGGTTTGGCGGCACAGCTGCAGAATACTGTTAAGTAACTTTAACCTCTGAAATTGCAGGTTTAATTCTCTCTGTAGACTCATGACATTAACCCTTTAAGTCAGGCAATGGATCTGTTACTTTGTTATTCTACTCTGTGTAACACCAAACGATTCTACTCATCAAGGGGAGAGTCCTGTTACTCAATGGATTATTCATTATGCATCCTGTTAAGCCTTTAAGTGGCAATGCACCCTGTTGCACCCAGTACAGTAATTATTACCTTACTCTGTCTAACACCAGACAATTTTACATGTCAAGGGCAGAGTGCTGCAACTTACTCACTGGGTTAATTTATATGAAAAGAGTCAGCTAGTCAATGCTCTGCTGAGTCATGGGTTTTCTCTGGGTACTCTAGTTTCTTCCCATGTAGAATGGCAATACTGTGATAGGGTGGGATAGACCCCAAACTAACCCCTCCACATACATTATTAATTGTGCTCCATGATAATACACAAGTCATATAGTGACAGCCATTCAAAGCCCCAAACCTCAACAAATGAATTTCCTGTCCTGTTTTTGTTCAATGCAGTTATTTTTGTAATAGTAGACTCTTTGCAACCCCTTTCCAAAGCAGATCAAGCTATAATGCAATACATGATTCCAGAAAGTATGTCACCTTGGCAATAGAACCTCGTTTTTGTGGTTGAGATGTTAGGCTTTAACTAACATTACATACATGAAAACGAGGGTCTATAGCCAAAGTGGTGCACTTTCGGGAAGGGTGTACTGCAGGATAGTAGTATACCAAAGAATCATAATACTACTAGTGAATGACAGCAGGTAGCAACATCCATTTCAGAAAGTCAGGGGGATGGAGCTGGCCAAAATAATAGTAAATTATTATATTAACTAATCCCCCAATTCAAGATGTTGGGGTGGATCCATCACCCACCGCCAAGACTGCAGAGTTGGGCTGTTTTCAATGAGATCTCAGGAATGTAAAAGCTGCAAATGTAGATTGCAAGGGCACCAGAGAGTTTCCATGTATCTGCCCAGTTATCAAAGGCACAAACAGACATTCCAACTACTGGAGGTAAAATTTAGGGAGACGTGTTCAGTGAATTGAAATCTAGTTCTTCTGGGAAAAAATTATTAAAAATTACTAAAGTCTTCTGAAATGGCGTTTCCTGCATTTTGGGACTTTGTTGTTATAAATGATCCTATAAATTGCCATAAAGTAACTTCAAAAAAGGTCAGAGACAGATTAATATTATGTTGCTAAAAACAGTATATTTATAATTTTTTATGATATTCCTGAATATTCTGAAAAATCGGGAGACCGAGAGAAGGGTGGATTGCATGAAATTTTGGGAGACTCCTGGTAAAATCGGGAGAGTTGGAATGTCTGCTTTACCAAATCGGTAGGAGCTGGTTATTACCAAAAGAGCAGATCCTTCCTTTCGCCCAAAAAAGTATCATGTTTACATGTCAAAACATTCAGGAATGTGACTACATTCCTAACGTTGTTAAATCGACAATTTGAAAATGGCAACATCTGATTGATCAGCAGGAAATTGTGCTTTAATTAGCTGATAATAGTTTGAAATTTTAGCAGCAATAGACATATAGCTATGAATGCCTGAATGGTTTATGACACAAAAACAGGACACATTTTTTTTGGGTGGGAGTAAAGTAATCTAAAGTGTTCTTGATATGAAACACTTCCCAGAAGCATGGACTCTGATCAACCCTGCACTGCAGTGTAGCCTCCCCCCCTGGAATGACACACTTGCTAGATCTAAACTATTGCTTTTATATGATGCATGAGTCAATTCCAGGAGTAACCATCACCCCCCCCCGGGAACACACCCGGGCATTTGATTTGATTGGTTATGATAGTGTAAATGCATGCCTGGGTGCCGGGACACAACTTGAAGACTAATGCACGGCCCCTGAGCATGCTGAGAGTGGAAAATGCCCCACCCCGGGGACGATTTTACAGTCGATTTCACGAAACTTTGACCACAAATGTTTGGAACTTCGTTGTGAAGTTCGGAAGCTCATATTGGAATTCACAAGCCAATTTGTAAACAAAATCCCTGATTGGTCCATGAAGTAAAAGAAGCCAATCAAATGCGTAGCTTATGAACTGCTTTGTGTATCTCATTATGAACTTTTGAACTTCGCAACAATCTTGTGAACTTCGCAACGAAGTTCGGAGAATTTGTGGTCAAAGTTTTGTGAAATCGACTGTAAACGTTAATTAAACTTTCAATGGCATATAATCATAGTCATTTAATAACATTATAGTATTAAACTGCTATGGAATATTATAAAACATAAACCTTTAATAGTTCGCTTATTCTTACAATAAATTTCACACCACCTTGACCACGAGGGCGCAAAATACGATCAGCGTGTCCACATGCGTGCCTGAAACTAGGTTTTCCTGCCTTAAAATTTGTGGGTGGGATTCTGGGCAACCATTTGTCAAATCCCCGGGGTCCTCCAATACCCGGCCCCTGTGCACATATATGAAAGGCAAATTCCCGACCCCCGTGAACTGTCTATCGGGCAAATTCCCGGGGGTGTTCCGGGGGGGGGATGGTTACTCCAGGAATTGACTCATGCATAATACCTGATTAATAACAATGATCATGCCATTGCCAAGAGTAATCGATTTGTATCCACAATTCTCCCTGTTCATACACCTCTGTGACAAGACCAGAGGTGAAAAATACTGCAGTGCGACATTGAGGTCTACTGTAGTGAGGTCATCATCCTGGCTTATAACTTGATCTTTAAGAAACACTCGATTCAGATGTGATATGAATTCATCATCTCCCCAGAAATACACAATATCTGGCAGAGAACTTGTAACAACCACGCTTTTCATGATGGAAACAATATTCAAGGTTATTTTTTACAAGTTACTGTGGTATATATGGTCAATGAATTGCAACCAGTGAACCAAGTCAACCAACTGGTCCAACCATATATGCAAAGTGCAATACAGTTTTGGAAGAAAAATACCTTTAAAAAACTCCAAAATTTCTAGACACGAGAACTACGAACAATCTGTTTTTACAAGTAGAAAAAGATTCAAATATAGTTAAATTCAAGGCCAGCAATCACCAAAATATTATAACAAAATGATCATATGTCATCAAAAATACCATTTGCAGGAATTTGATTACCTGACACTCGCCTTACATGAAGTGTTATTTAGCAACAACAACAAAAACAAAATGGCGTTCAAATTAGACGAAAATTTGAAAAAAGCTTTTCTGAAACATCGCCGTGGGGAATACGATCAAAAATTAGATGGTAGGTTTGTTGGTTCATAACTAGCTGTTGATACAAGATAACAGATGATGGACAACTCAAGAAATTTTGATACTTATAGGAGCAACTGATTTCTATATAATTACAGAACTGAGAACTGGCTGTCTGAACTGCATCAGTCTGCATGTTTTAAATTATATAAGGAGTAATTACTTATAAGAGATCTAGTGTCGAATTGATAGGATACAACTATCTGAAAAATACAAGAAGAACTTGGACGTTTCGAGCGAAAGCCCTATATATATATATATAATTATATATCTTTATTTTTTTTTGTAATTTTTGTATAATAATTTTCAGGATATGGGTGTATAATTATTTCTTTTTTTTTAGAATACCTGACTGTAAATGTTATGCAACCAGCAACTAGGGCCCCTAATCTAGAGGTCTTAATTAAGAAACCTTTTGGGTTTTAGTAGACCTCTAGCAGCTAGGCCTTACTTTCTTTATATTATTTTTATGTAAATTACTACTTTAAAGATATTAATTTATTAAGCTTTGCTATCCAACTGAACAATACTTATATATAAACAGGTACAGTACAAGAACAAAACGGCTCAGGAACATCAACACAGCATGAGGCAGTTACGTTGATGACTTGGTTTACACATACACTCTGCACGATACAAAACGCATGTACACACAATACACTCTTTTGATAACCATGTCACAAATCGTTCCCCAGCATGGGAGCCAAATAAAAAATATAAAACTGAGCAAGAAAATTTATATTAAACTGCATTTGTCAAATTCTATTTATATTGGTAACCAAAGCAAGACCAGCACATGTATATATAAAGGAAAGAAATAACATTTTCTTACTCTAATAACTGCGAGGTGTCCACCATACAGATACAGATACAGATATTTCACAGCACACTCCCTATATCAGGGCTTTTCAGTGACTGGTTACATTATGAATAGATAGATAGAACCGGACTGACGTGAAGCAGACCGAGGTAGACTTTGAGCTTACAAATGGCGCTTGAGCAGCCGCTATTAGTCCGTACCTCATTAATGATCTGCCTCCAGACCAATGTGCCTAACCCACCCTGTCAACTTTCCCTGTGGGAGGAAACACGGAGTGCCCGGAGAAAACCCACGACTTTCGGCAGAGCGTTGACTTTTACTCTTTTCACATGAGGACTGGGTTCGAGTGACATTGAGAAGTTCTCACTGAGATTCGAACCTGCGACCTTAGAGGTGAAAGGCAAGTGCGCTAGCCACTTGGCCACCATCTATTGCACGATAGTGGTTAGGAACCCACATATGCAGCAAATTGCCAGGAATAAACCAAACATAAAATTTGGGAAATTTTACACTTTACTGTACCTGAGCAATCACTGAATATATAGTTACGCTATCAAAACACACAATAAGAGAACGGGAAAATTTGCCACCAGAATGCACACCATCAAATACTTGCGGGACTCGGTACAGTAAACTGTACAGTACCAAAATTTGTAAAATATGTTGAATATTTTAAAATTCTAGATCGACTTCAAAGAGAAGGCAGAAAGATACTGGAAGAAAATGACCCCAAGAAGAAATCAAAGACCATGCTAAATATTCACATGGTCTTCTGGATGGTTGCGTCGATGGCAGTTTATTATTACACTGATTTTTATATGGCAATTAAAATTGACCCAAGAGTCTATAGGTAATTTATATAAAGAGCATAGCCACAGAATAGAGACCTTACAGAAGGCCGACTTCTTGGTTTTGCCTGTGATTTGGGGGTAACCTGTTGTACTGCCATCACCATGTTCCTAGCCAGTGTGCTTACATGAAATTATTCAAAATGGTGGACATTCAGGGGGGGTGAATGCCTCTCGTGCGGCATGTGCGTTAAATTGATGAAGAAACATTACATCAGACTTCAGTAAGATCTCTATCCTGTGGCATAGCATTTTAGTACATTAAATCGTCTGGCAAAATTTGCTGTCAAATGTAGACAATCTCATGAAAAATTGTATCAAGTTGATCCCACATCTGTTGAATATAGATTAACTATATATCTGGTATTATATTGCAATTCTTTTAGGCTATGGCTTTATATTGGCTGTGTTTTGTTGTTGGTGAATTTTACAATTGCATTTTATCTCATCTTCTGGTGTTCATATCATAAGAAAATTGAAGACTGGGACAGCCACGCCCCATTTGCTATTCCTGTGGCAACTGCAGCGTTTATTGCTGGAATGATTTGGTGAGATATTTATCTAACATAATTTGATAAATCCTCTAGTAAGCAGGGGTTTCAGAACAAGCCGGCGGCCGGCGGAGTTCCGCCGGCTACTTGAACTTTTACCACCGGCTACTTTTCGTCTGGTCACAGGAAAAAAATTATATACAAAGGTACAAGCGAACCAACACAATGTTTGTTATGTTCCAATTGGAATTCAAGCAAAACATCACTTATTTTGGAAGATCAATAAGATCAATAATATATAGCACCAAACATAGCTTGCTTTCTAAGTTGGTGTCGAAGTGAATCTTCCTGAAGATAACTCTGATTGACTCTGACAGTGACTTAAGCATTGCCATTGCCATTGGGGAATCCGAATTTGACAGTGAGCCAGAGAACCTTCAGAGCCACTTTGGTAAATGTTTTTGGCAAGTGACTAATTGTTTGACAACGAATTAATTATGATAAAGTCATGAAGTAAAAAACTCTGGGCGTATAGCGAGGGGGAATTTAGAATTAACATATTCGGAAAATCGGGTTGGCCATTCGGAAAATTACGGCAATAATAGTCTAACAAAATTTTAGTTGTTAAACAGAGAAAATATAATATAATTGTATTGTCAGTATAAACTGATTTACGAAATCATGGCATTTACATGGATATTAACATTTAACAAATCGTAAATCGGTAAATATGCATGCATACCTTTATCTTTTAAATAATATACCTTTAAAATACTGACAATTGATTATCCATGACAAACTGCAAAGAATCATATTACCCATACTTTCCTGCAACTTCTCCATGCAATATATTGTTAATTAAATACGCCTTCGCCCATTTAGTACTACTAAATTGTAAACAAATTGTAAATTTCGACATACTGACCATCAGAATTCTATTCTAAATTTCCCCAAAGTCCAGGAAATGGCATTTCAGAGACTCTAAATTAAAAAATTTCCTCGGGCCTTCGGCCCTCGTTCTCAGCCCCTAACCAAAAAGAGCTTCCTACGGCACTGCATGCTACTCAGCTACTGTAATATGTCTGTGCGTAGAATATACATATTTTTGTTTGTAAATTGCGTCTTCATTTTCCGGATAGCAAACACCTTCGTGACTAAACTACAAGTAGCACATTAAAGTACATTGTCACTTACAAGTATATATGCAAATGACATCTAAATCTAACAAGTGAACAGTTGTACTTTATCTTCTCACTTATTCTATATTATCTGATTGTTAATTTGCGTCACAGCCGGCTACTTTTTTGGTACAACCGCCTACTTCAAATCATTCTGAAACCCCTGAGTAAGCCCCTCCCTCCTAAAATATTGGCACTATTGGGTACTGCGGGCAGAAGCCTGGTTGCTAATTAAAAATATATCTTTTTCAGCTGTGTATATGCATTGTGGCCAGTGTGGGGATACTTTACACCGCTAATCCTGTTCACATTATTTATGGGAGTCTTGTTTCTGCTAACATTAATACCAATCTAACAAATTTTGTGGAAGATTTTGATATCATAGTTTGTAAACCAGCAGCATGCAAGGAATTGTGGTCAAGCAAATATTTCAGTTCGAATTTTGTTTTGAAAGAAAATTCAGTGTCTTTCAGGGCAGCATATGTGTAACTAGCTTGTAAAATATATTGACAGAGGATCGCGGGAGAGATGTACTTTAATTTTATATTCTTGTGGTGTATTACCTAATATTACAATATATTACGTAATTAAATATTATAATTAAAATATTATATTTTATTTATGGTAATCGCTGTCCTAACAAAATGTACTGACGTAAGAATATATTAGTCCTCTGGTAAAGAGAATAAAGTACAAAGATATTTTTAAATATCTTTTTAATAATATTTTTTTTAAAAATATTTTCTTAAAATATCTTTTTTTATTAAGTTTTAAAAACTTGGAGCAATCGAACTTCCACCGTACCTTTGGCTCCACCTTTTTCCCATTCAGGTTAGCTAAATATTTTGCGCGAGAATGACACTGAATGGTGTAAAATTTGATATAAATATTTGAAATAGTTTCGTTAGCATATTGTACAAGTAAAAGCTAAACTTCTCAAGAACTACGCGTCTAGTATCTGTTCATCGTCATGTGATCTCCTTAACAAGAGCTTTTCCAAGGGAAAACTGCCACGCGAGTGGAAACCTTCCATTTCCAATATCAGCTCAATCCCAAAAAAGGCCCAGCTGAAGTGTCGAATTATAGACCAATATCACTTCTGTCCTTTGGTCTCTAAAGTTTTCGAGTGTTGTATTGATAACCAAATCATATCACAAATTCACACGTATATCCAGTCTACTTCGATCATCACAACAATTCGGCTTAATTCTACAAGGGCAGGTCTGCCGCCTCGCAGATTCTGCACATTCCCCAGGATATCCACAAAGCGGTAGAGAGCTTAAGTAATTTATATTAAACTTTATAACATATTTACTCATTACTTATTATAAAATGCAGGAAATCGTTCATACAGTAAGAGAGCCAGTACTACAGTAGAGGCTAGAATAAAAAAAGATTTGATGGTTCATGCCCCAAGGCATCGCTAGATGAGCCTTCCCTTGTTAGAATTTTAGGACTGCACCAGCTTATCACGTGGTTAATATAATGACCTAAACATTATTTAGGCTCATTTTCATTAGTTTCGATACATCCATGTTTTCGACCATTCTTTTCCTTGCGTCATTCCTGTGAGGAATCTTGCATGTGCAAAATCTTCTCATGTAATGATAATTTCGTCCTAAACACCACGGGTTCCGTCGATACATGCTCGTCCTGCTAATATGCGAAGTCATGACCATCTTGGAATCTGGATAAAGTCGAAAGGTAGCTTGAAAGAGCCCATCACCAGGTTTTGTTGCTATAGTTACTTGATAATACACAATATCGCCATTCTCTGACTCACGAAGAGCCTCGGCTCTGGCCGCAAGAATGATTTCAACAAGATAAACTGTGAAACACAAGTTGATAAAAATTCGTTTCTTGGAAATCATTTTGTTAATATGCTTAACTAAAAGCTGTGCAGCTCTCTTTACTGGAATACTGTTGATATCTTCTGCTTGCCACCTTAAACATGGACACCAGTGCTCGTCCGTCACACCTAAATAGTTCAAAACCAATCTGTAAGATGATGTAGAAAGTGCATTGAAACGGAAATGTTTTTAAAAGAAATATAAAACTATAGAGTATACAACTTCTTTTTCAATTTTTCGTCCCGTAGCTTCGACCTTCGGTTTTCGAGATATTTCACTTAGTTGAGTATCAAGGCTCTACGTCACAAACATGCATATGAGTTTGCTGAAAATGTTATATATTCTTGCTACCATGAAAAGAAATCACTAGCTGCTGGCTAAAATCCAGTATCCTCGTGAATTTGCTCATGAGTATGTTACTGGATTTTGGCATGGTGATATAATATAAGCGTGCTCATGATATACCAAACTAAGGTATGCTCATAAGCACACTCATATATGTACCAAAATCCAGTATGCTCATGAACATCCTCGTGTATACCAAAATCCTTTTTCTTAATGAGAATGCTCATGCGTTTCTTAATGGATTTTGGTACACACATGAGCGTGCTCATGAGATACTAACAAAATATAAGGAATCCAGGCATTTGATGTTGTAGAACAACACATATGTACAATATACTTCTAAAATGAGATTTTGTGTGATAAAAAAGAAAGGATATACTGTACAACTTAATCTGATAACTTAGTATGCATTTTGTGACGTAGAACGTTGACACGTGTATCAAACTCTAAATAACTGAAAAACTGCAAACGGAGATAATCTATAGTTTTTATAATTTTCGTTTCATATGAACTTTAAAGAATAGAAACCAATTAGGGCAAGTTGGTAAAGTGTATAGCTGCCAGTAAATCACTCTCTCCTACGCAGAGCCTTGCGAATTTTTAATCAAATTACGATTCATCGAAAAGCAAAATTGTGCAAAATTGAGTACTGCTCGACTCGTAATCTATCAAGATATATGATGGTCTGGAAACTGATCGAAGTCATTGTGCTATGTTTTTGTCTGAGTTTAGGGACCGGTCATAAAGTAACTGCTAGGGTGGGCTGGAGTGATTTGGGATGGGCCATGGAAAATCTTTGGGCAGTTTTGATGGGCCGCCAATTTTTTTGTATGTCCACGGTTAGGCCACCAAACAAAAACCCATGCATGTCCACTTCAAAAAATAAATATATTAATAATAAAAGTAAACAAAACTATCCAAATTATCAAATGCAAATGATGCTATTGAAGCCAGTACTTTGTTTATACAACAACAAGAAGTGGTCGAATCACAGCAAATACAACCAACTGGAGAGCAGCTTAGTATCGTAATTGGTGATGAATGTGTTGGTCAAGCTTTGTGGAATTATGTATGTCAATACAGTGCCGGTGTATATTTACAATGTTCATACCTGCAACTTTTTTTATTATAAAAGTGTATTTTCCCAATTTAAATTGGGTGGGTCATGAAAAATGTTTTGTAAGATTAGATGGGCTTTGAAATTTTTATCTACATCCTAAGATGGGTCACCAAACTTATTGGCAAAATTTGTGATTTACCTCCAGCCCACCCTAGCAGTTACTTTATGACCAGTCCCTTATGTTCATTTGTGCACGGTCACGGTGATTGAGCTCAGTTGTGTTTTCGACCTTTTGGTATGATGAAGTAATCATCCAAGAGAGATAGCTGAAGTGAAACGTGCAACCAACTGATATTTGAGACGAAGGATTTGTGCACAGTGAAGCATAGTGCAATATCAAACAGAGATCTTCTATTTTGTAGTTTTGAAGTTTGTCGAGCTCCAGACTATCATTTCCTGACAGACTATACACTCAAATTCATCCTTTTTCGCGTGATCAGAATCCAATGTGGTCATAACCGACATATTATGGATGATATACAAGCATATGGTATAGAAATAATCAGAAATTCTAGTTCATGCAGTAAAACAAAGGTAAGTGATCTAACCTGCCTCGCTGCAAGTCCGTTGTGGATTCAACTCCGACATTAGACTTGTGCCTGCAGCTGGTTTTCTATCCAGATTAAGAATCTGGTGTAATGTATAGTGCAGATCAAACGGTGAAATAACTCGTTCTTGGTTAACCTTCAGGTTCTTTGTGAATACAGGGTATTTCTCTTCAAACCATGGTGGTAATACTATAGACAGCCATGGTAAATGTTCTTCATAAGTACCTTGAATTGTGTTACGAACACTACCAACTCTTGCCCCATGATCGCCTGTAGCGTGAGAAGATCATAAAAAAGTTGTGAATGTGTGAATGAGTACTAATCGGCATAGGGTTAGGGACCGGTCATAATTAATGGGTAGGGGGAGGCACCGAAGAGAAATGTTTTTCTTGATGAAAATGTTGCCGGTCCAACCATTAAAAAGTCAAAACAATTTTACCACAACCTCAAATATCAACTATTTAAAAATACCCACACCTGGCCAAATACATTACAAAAGGATATCTTGTCACACATGTCCTTTACCACTCCCGGGTTATGTACAATTTTCTGCAGTCTAATGTGTTGTGTACTATCTTTGGAGACAACATTTGCCTCCTGACAAATCGGAAAATGATCAAGATTGACAAGATAGTGACTCTGATTGATTTACATACTGTATTGATATATGGCTGTTGACATTGCTTTTTAGTCATGCTTTGGAAACGACAATAAATTTTTATTACCCAACCTTTTACTCACTTATTATATCCAACATTTTACTCACTCAAAATTGTGTTTATACCCAACCCTTTTCTCTTCTGTGCCATCCCCCGCCAGAATAATGACTGCATGGTCCCTTAGGTGGTGTAAAAGTGCATTTCAGCCAACCTCGTAGCTCGTTTTGGCAGATAACTCACATGACTAGCTACATGTACCGCATCCTGATGATGTAAGCATAGAACGAAACGAACTATAGAACCAATCACTTCAATTATAATAGTGGATAATTATAGATGGCAACGGACATAACGCAGTTGCCTGATTGTATATCAATGTTTCTGTGATCACAGTGAGGAATTTGGCATAGGTAAATTCTAAGGTTTGAAGGATTTGTAAGAAATATTTGAGCCGAAACTGACTTGATGTTGAACACTGGCTCCCTCAAACATTTATTACAAATCCTTTGAAACCCATTGCAAAATTCCTACTGTGATCACAGAAACTTTGATAGTGTATACCAGCTAGGGTTTAGTCTAGCCTCCTCCGCAGGCCTCTCTATGGGTTTTAGCCTGCAAATGGGTTTTTACTTTTTCCGACTACCCGATTCCTCAGGTGAGATGCCTGCGGAGGAGGGTAGGTTTAGTCACAGGGGTGTTACATTATAGATGTGTAATAACTTACCGAAAATTATCAAAATAGTATTATCGCGATATTTCTCATAGCTTTTCAAAAACAATAAAAGGTCTTTGTCAGCATAGCTCAATTTTTCGCCCGTGCCATGGGGAAGATAGGAGAAAAAAGGAAATGCAAACTTTGGCATGCCATCATAAGCAGCTAGGAAATCCTTCACGTAATTTAATGTTATGTTATGAAGTGGTTCATTGTTTAAACAAAGACGATGAAGTGACGCTGACTTATTCCGACGGCGGCCATCGAGACCATGGCGTTCAACAGAAAGCCAGAACGGCCTGATGTAGTGGTCGGCCGGCTCATTGTTAAAACTACCTATTTTATTAAAACATGCGACCTGTGGATCATCTTCTGCGTATAAAGTAACATATCCCTTCCTTTTGTAGTTCTTCATAATCCAAGGCCATGAATTCAGATCTGTGTGGTTATTTGACACCATGGTGCTGAGTAAATTACCAGTTAAAATTGCAGTCAGTGCTGGTGTGGTACCATCTCCGATTATGGTATAACCATTGAAAACAAAAGCGTCCAGCTTCTCGACCAAATACCTAAAGCTTCTACCTAGTTTTCGTTTGAAGTTAGCATTTGAAGTCGAGTCGAAACCCATTAAAACAACATTCGGCCTTGGCCTAGCATTTGTAAGCTTTCTTTTTAATACGCTTTGTTTTTCCACAATCTGTGCGAACATTTCCACTTTCCTACTTCCATTTTTTAGCTTATAACTCACTTTCAAAAAGTCGTTGTTAATTTTTTGGTCATTTTGGGAAATAAAAACCATGTTTCCATACATAATTCTGTGGTCGTCGCCTTTGGGACGTATCACAGTCTCGTATTTCGCTGATTTTTCTGAAATATTTTCCAACAGAGAGAAATCACGAATTTGAATTCTTCCGTCTACCAGCTGGAATACTTTGCTTGATTTCCCACAAACGTCAGTGATATCGTCTGAATAGTTTGTGATCAAATGACTAATAGATCGATCGAATGGGTCAAGTCTAGGTAATACGCACATCAGTGCACGATTTGTATCTGTTTGTTGAATGCTAAAACAATATAAAAGAGTTCAGAAAACGTTAAAAAACTCATTAGGAAAGACAAAAGAAATCACTACCGTATCGCTGGTCAGTCAGTTATATGATAAAAATCATGTAATTTACATAAACTAAATTTAGCTTTGGTTTTCTCGGTTAAGACAATGTTGATTTTTAAAATAACTTCGCCAATGAACTCATAAGATGGGTCGTTTTTTTAAGCGTACTGCATCACTGATATAAGACATTTGACTGTCGCCTCGTGTTTTAGCACTCTGACAGGAAACAATTATAATTGTCACCACTTCGTTTCTAAAGTTCATTATTTGCATTGGTAACAAAAATGTCAACAAAGCTGACATGCATGTGCAAACGACAGTACTTGGCATCTTTAACATTGTTAGCCCCCGAGTCCAAGCTATTGTTTCTTTATAATAACATTATAACTATAGATTGTTTATTCTGGTTTTGGTACTGAATGCAACAGAGATTGAAACCTGTTTTATACGTCGAATTTAAGAATTTTGGTCGCGTCCAATGCAATTAAGACAATAGATAATGAGATGATAAACTAGGCCTCGTTTAGCCTCCTCCACAGGCAACTCTTTGGCAAAAATTGGCAAAAGTGGTATTATGAATAAAAAAATTGGCAAAAACAATCCCTAACTTTAAATTCGCTTTTTTAAATTCGCTGTTATTCATAATACTTTTGCCAATTCATTATCTATTGTTTGAATTGCATTCAACGCGACCGAAATTCGACGTATATTAAAATCAGGCCTGAACTTCCATATTATTATTATAATAATAATTATTATTATGGTTCCTTTTAAAAACACTGGCTTCTGGCAATTCAAAACGAGAAACGTAAATGCAAGTCACAATAACAGAAATGTCAAAACAATGAGTGGATATGGCATGGAGAACAGTGGGGTTTTCTGTTTTCAAAGGTAATATGAGTAGATAAGAGTCGTCATGTCGGGATGATGCAATTAGTTAGTATTGAATTATATCGGGTGACTCGATGCCCCCTCTGAGTTCGACGGAACGTCGGCACTCTCGTAAAATAATCTTGAAATATTCAAAGAGAAATTAGACGTTTCGAGCGAAGGCCCTTTGTCTACAAGATAGTGAAGTGCACACGGCTTTTGGAAGAGCACCAAGTTTTGCGCAGAATCTAAGTCATTAGTAGTACAGAACTTATCACACCTAAAAAAAAGTGAAGATCTTATCAGCTCATTCACACAGTCATCAAGCAATTTGCAAATGCGAAATTTAGATTGATTATTTGAATTCATGATCGCAAAAATAGATATAAATAACAAACTGAATTCTTCTGCAATGCTGCTAAACAGTTCAGCACACTGAGAGGAAGCAGATCTCACTTGATTGTCGTGTTGTGCACGTACTGGGCTCAGCGTATCTGAGGCGGAGCTAGGACTGAGCCTATTCAGCATGCAATGTTGCGGATATTTTACTAATTTTCCTGAATATTATTACCAGTAATAGTCGCAATACTACAATTTCGCGAAATACTTCGTTTGATTTCTTTTGAATTGTGATCATCCGAATTAATCACTAGTTGACCGCTCACAATGGACCAATCCCCAATTAACCAAAATTTTGAACTCAACAAGTCTAGACAAAAATTTCATCACAACTTGAAAGAGCATCCCAAAATTAGTAATATTCCAAAGTTTCGTTGCAAAATGTTGTAAAATGCGGATAATATAGCCTTGCGAAGTTTGCAATTTTCAGTCATTTTAGATTACAAACGGGAAATGGTTACCACTTCTGTGCGTATTACAAAATGACTGAAAATTACAAACTTCTCAAGGCTATATTATCCGCATTTTACAAGAATTCGCAACGCAAAACTTTGGAATATTACTAATTTTGTGATACTCTTTCAAGCTATGATGGAATTTTGTCTAGACTTGTTGAGATCAAAATTTTGGTTAATTGAGGATTGGTCTATTCAAAAGAAAATTGAGACGAAAATTTCGTCAACGAAATTTTTCTTGGAAGTGGAAATCCAGCCTGAAGCTGGATCAGGCTTCGCGGGAGAAAATTTCGCCTGTGAACCAATCTCGTTCCCCGAGCATGCCCGTTCGCAGGTTAAGGGTGGGCATAGCTCTGGAGAAATCGAATTGATTCACGTTGAATTTCCAACGTGAGTTCTACGCATGCTCGGCAATGTTGCAAAATATAAATAAAGTATTTAGAAATTTCGCGTCGAAAAATTGATACATTTTACACTGAAATCGAATTGAAAACAACTAAAAATTCTGGGGGAAATATGTACGAAAGCTTCGGTTGGATACAGCTACCTGAAAAATACAAGGAGAACTTCGACGTTTCGAGCGAAGGCGCTTCGATCTGTACTGTTAGTGTTTATATACATCGTACTTGACCTTTGATAAATATAATCTCCTCAATAATAAGTATTATATATTTTTATGCTTTAAACTTTACATTTAATTAACTCTCCTGTCAGAATTTATGCGGGTATACGTAGTGTTAGGTATTGCAGTATATAAAAGGCAAGTACGATGTATTAATATTATCATGTATACAAACACTAACAGCACAAGTCGAAGCGCCTTCGCTCGAAACGTCGAGGTTCTCCTTGTATTTTTCAGGTAGTTGTATCCCTATCAATCCGCAGCTTTCGTACATATTTCCTCCAGAATTTCTAGTTGTTTTCAATCGATTTCAGTATAAAAAGTATCAAATTTTCGACGAGAAATTCCAAATACTTTGTTTATATAGAACTCACGTTGGAAATCCAACGTACTGTCTGCCGTTAGCCAATCACAGGCCTGAATCAATTCGATTTCTCCAGAGCTATGCCCACCCTTAACCTGCGAACGGGCATGCTCGGGGAACGAGATTGCCTGTGAACTGATTTAATAGAATCGCACATGTGCAACCACTCATATTTCGCAGACACAATTTCTCGCGAAGAATTTAGCCGTCGTGGAATTAATAGGCCTTTAATGAGCGCAATTTCAGCGCTTCGATTCGGGGGAGCAAAACACTGTCTGCAGTACCCTACCGGCTTCCCCGTTGAAACAAACTAGTACAGTTGATGTAATGATCAGCTAAAAGCCTGGTAAATATTTAGTTTATAAAACATTGAATTATCTTTGTCAACATGTGCAACAGTTTAGTCGTTCAATGAAAACAAAAGGACTTGTCAGCACATTGAAGTATCAATTACTTTTCATTGCTTGTGCTACACACCAAACAACGATAGCATACTGCATACTGACCAGATACACGCAAATATTTCGATTATATTCGAAATTAAATCAGCATTCGGCGATTGTTCATTAATGTCTGTAATGGGAAGACTTCGCAGTGTCGTCCGTTCGAGCCTTTAAAGTAAGCAGCTTCACATAAAACCTAAATGCAATGCCACTCCGATGGCTATAATTCATGTCTATCTACAGAGTACAGTACATGATAAACTTACCCGATAAAGCATTCCAGCCCCGAAGTGCAGTTCTGATCGCGTGATAGCAAGTAAAAATAAACACCAAGGAAGGCTAAACCAAAACAGAGCAGTAAAACGAAGGTTCTTTGTCTTGTTAGTCTCATACTGTAGTCTAACGTCTCCGGTAACTGTGTTTATGGCAACATACATAAATGTACGATATTTGCATCTTTATACCTCATTACTCGCATTAGCATATTTTAATTAATATTATTGCTTTTATGTGAATATGTCGACAATATCGACGCTGTGTCTGTGGTCATATCGAGGGTCACGTCTGTCAATGAATGACGTCCTGAGTGAAATCTAGATTTGACTGTGATTTGACCTATATCTAAGATCTAACTTGACCCGTATCTTCAATTTCATTCACGCTGTCAAAATGAAGTGATGAACTCAAAATGAAAGTAATTTATAACTCATGGACCCCAGAGGTATGTGCTCAACTTGCGCTTCCCCGACGGTTCATAGGATAATTAGCGATATTAAGTTCGAGCGCCTGCCACGGTTATGTCACAGAGCAACGGTTATGTCACAGAATAAATACTTATTCTGATGTAGTTATGTCGTCCAGCAACTCTTAGAAAAATACCGGTGATGACACCCTGTGTCAAGTGAGCAAGTCCCTGCGACGGAGGTTGGTCCTCGAGGGCTGGGGCTGACCAGGTATTTTTGAAAACAGTAAAACTACTACCCTGGTTCCAGATAAAACTACAAAAGCAGAAAAGCTCAGCCACAGGATAAACACTTGATGACCAAATGACGGTGACCAAATCGGGCTTTTTAAACTATATTTTATTTCCGCATTATCATTAATCATTTCAAGTTTTCAAGTGTTTAGAATAGATACAGATGCCGAGATGCGTGCTCGAAGGACGACGTTTTCCACCCGGATCACGCCATGTGTCAACCTGTTTCACAGGCCAGCACGATGGTGTATATAGCATGGGCTCGCGCCTGCTTTGCAGGCTACGCCATGTGCTATCGAGGACGAGAACTCCGCAAAATGTCATTAGAAAACAAGTCTGGGACGAAACATTCACAATTCAGCCTCGTACCCAGGCGCAAATAACGTACTAAAAATAGCAACACTACAGTGTTTTTATATAGATCAGTGGCTAAGATGAGCGACCCTAACCTCTAACCCCCGACCCTAATCTAATCTTAGTCTAACCCTAATCCAATCCAAATCTGGCGACTTTTTTTTAATGTGTTGGGCATCATCTACATATACTATCCAGGCTCGTGGTTGGTTGATTATAACAATGAAAGACAGTAAAACTATAGAAATGTCTTTCTAAAGAACGAATCACGAACAATGATCGTTTTTGTTTCCGAAAGCCAATCACAAAACATGAGCATTTTAGGTAGGTCTTACCCCTGGTGCTAATCCGTTTGTTCGTCGAGATGAAAGACACCGCTTTCGAAACGACGAAATTCCCCATGCAAATCAAACAGTTCGAATAATTTAGGGTCGCAGGGGTATCTCCGACAAGGTTTCCATTCTGAATACAACGTTAAACTAAGATTTTTACGTCATTGGAGCAACGTGAATGCTTGTCAGTGGCGACATTGGACGAGTTACATAAAATCGGTCTAATAAAGCAGCTCTATACAAACGCCCAAATTTTACACACACTGTTATTATAATTAAAATAAATTTACATCTTGACAGCGCTAGCTTGGAAGGTGCTTAAAATATATGGCCAAAATTATAGTAGGTGATAGTCAGATAAGGATATAGTCTGGGAACTTGGTATAAAACGTCAAAAATCTTTTGAAATTTTACGCACTAATTAATACTGCAATCTTTCAATGGATTGATGACAGTGATCTAAAATTTCTTGTTTTGATACCGTTCACAAGTTTTTCGAAAACATGAACAAAATATAGAACAAAGACTTTGGGCGAGTTCCCAGACCTATCCTGATTGACCATAAGATGGTTGACACATCATAATGTAGTTTTTCAATAACCAGTAAAATTTTTTTTGTAGATAAAAATTTTGATTGTAAATTTTGTACATTCTTCATACACCTACTGTAACCTAGCCTGGATTTAGAGGTTTTCTCGTGACTGGTAATAGGGACCTTACGATTTAGGACGGCAACGGCTACCAATACAATAAATCATTGAAAAGATTGAATTATTACAATATATGAATAATTTAGACTTGTCCTTCACCAAATCACAGATTTTCACCTCTTGATACAACGGCTGCATTTCAAGCCGCAACAAGTGCAACTTCAAACTGGGTTCAGCAGAACTCTTCCCAACCATAAAACCCTAGCCTGCGTAGCAGGCGTTTAGTGCGGGCGGGAGAAGAGAGGCCCTTTCTTAACCCGCACGCACAAAACGCCTGCTACGCAGGCTAATAAAACCCATGTTTTCAACTTCTAAGACTGCACTAAATCATACGATTGATAACATACGACGAATTATATTTACTATACCATTTATTTGAAGGAGTTTGTTTTGGCCTCCGTCGTCGCGTTGCCGTCCTAAAATCGTAAGGTCTCTATCAAACGAGTTGGGAACACCCCTTATTCAGGGTATACCTAACCAGAAGTATTGCGAAAAATGCAAATACAGGAAGGAATCAATTTCTCAAAAATAATTGAAATGTATAAAATTTACACTCGAAAATTATTCCACCTACAAAAACTCTTCAATAATTAATCAGGTCTGTCGAGTGAGATGCGCAAAATTTCACTATTTACCATACATCTAACTAGCAAAATTATCCATTACTATGTAATGCTTGTATCAAAATTAAAATCCATTAAATTAAATAATGAAATAAAAAAAAATAATGTAGAATTGCGAAAAGCTACTTTTTGCGATCTTTTTATACTATTTTTTGTTAAAACACCAAAATAATTCTTCGAAAAGCTCAAAAATCCAGCGAGATTGCTTTAAAATTATGAAAACGGCTTCCAGAAAATTCCACTGTTTGGTTCCATAGCATGAAAGCAATTCTAGATTCTGGCAAACTAGTGATATAACACACGAAAGATGCGATAGCAGTATGCATGTGCATCATCAGTGACGGCATCAAGTGCTCCGCAGCGCCGTCTACCGCCTTCCAATGGGTGGTCAAATTTGATTAATTTACGTACTTGATAAGTAAGATTTCTATCATTAAAAATTGAAAATTCGAGGGTCTAGTTGGGTTTTATCTGAATACAGACCTTTGCCAACATTTTAAAAGACAACTGACCCAATAAGATCTCACAGTTCAATGCCAAGTTTAGACCTTTTCCCATGGTTTAGGCACAGGTTTGAGGCCAGCTCTAAAGTCCACGCGATTTTCCTCGTTATTTTCGTTTGCTCTTGGTCTTCTCGGTGGCGAGGGCCTTGCCTGGTTAGCTTTCACAGCAGAAGGTTTAACCGACCCCCCGTCTTCAGGTAGATTAAACAGTGGTACTGATTGATGTCCAGGTCGCGGCTCGACGCTCCTCGGTTTGGCGACTGGAATGTCATCGGGAAACTCTGGTACAGACCGGTGACTGCTCGGTGGGGCACGAGGTTTTGGACGAGGGGGAACGGCGTTTGGTCTTTTTGCCACGGAGGGTGTTGTCTTCGCGTCTTCAGCAGAGGGGATGTCCGGAACGGATTTATAGTTAGGAGGAGGTCGAGATGGTGGAAGTTTGGGTCTGTTGGTGGGGGAGGTGGGAGGCGCGGAAGGTGTTCTAGGTAGGTTTGACTTAGCCAGAGGGCGGGTAGGAGGGGGAGGCCGAAATTTGACAGTCTCTTGAGGGACTGGGGCGGCGCTTGGCGGGAACAATGGTACGGACTGGTGACCAGTTCTTGGTTGTGCAGGGGCATTAGATGGTCTTTGGGGACCTCCGGGAGCTTTTTCAAAGGCGTATCGTGGTTCAGGTTGGTCGTTTACCACCAAAGGAACTAAAACATTAAAATTTTACGTTTATACCGTTTCGCTGAAATGAGTAATTTTGATGTACTGGAATATTTCACATAACATGACTATTGGACGTAGCATAGTTTACTGAAGATGGCGGAAATTGAAGAACTATTGGACGCAGTGAACTATATATAAATACTGGAGCGATAACTTCAGGTAAACGGCCTTATGATTGGGAGAACTGAGAAGCCAAGATGGCAGTCAATAGACAATCTCGTTCCCCGAGCCTGCGATCCTCGGGAAGGAATCGAAGGCTCTGGGATAATCCGTTACCGGAAGCCAAGAATCCTGGCTAAGATTGAACTACGCATTCCATTTCAATGGCCAATCAGATTCCTCCCTGAAACGGATTATCCCAGAGCCTCGCGTTCCTTCCCGAGGATCGCAGGCTCGGGGAACGAGATTGGTCAATAGATTGATCTCTTGTAGATATAAAACACGCGTGTATTTCGCGTGGGCTTTGCGGGAGCTGAAAAATGACTTAGGTTTTTCGATCGATGTTCTTCAATTGTTCCACGTAGTGGTAAATACCGTACTTAAGAGCTAAAATCTAAATGAAAAAGTGAGATTGATGTAACTGCAGTCCATATTGTTCTGCGTTTTTAGTTCAAATCCCTCATAGATAGTCCAGAAATACAAAAGTGTGCTGATATTTCTCCTATGGTTTTATGAACTGATAACTTGTCTAGTGATACGGTCAGTTGAGAAACTGGAATTAGCTGGGGAAATTGGTATTAGAACTGTTTATGGCCTTCATCGCTATTGGACGTCAATTTGGTAGCTATTGGACGTCAACATGACTGAAGTTCTTGTTTCAGATAATTATATTGAGCTCAGTGACTGACAATTGTTGGACTCATTTCTGAATGTATAAAGTGCCTAAAAGCAAGAAATTTGATTGAATTGCAAAGTTCATTTGAAATCATAATGTAACTTTTTTCTAAAACTTTGTTATCCTTCCTGTATATGAAGATATTGGACTTTGTTTGGCATGCAAATATGACTTAAATGACGTCACACTGCACAATGTATTTTACAGAAGACTGTTTTTTAGCTTGATAAAATTGTCATAGTTCGTAAAGTATATAGTTCGTAAAGTTTATAACTTTCAATGTCAGTGGAAGTCGAAAATTTTGACTACAGGAAAGATACAAAGTTTTAGAAATAAGGTACATTATGAATTTAAATTAACTTTGCAATTCAATCATAGTCTATTGTTCACTTCGTGATGATCACAAAAGTGGACACCAAATCGGCCCGGGAAATCGCAGTCAGTAAATGTAGTTTAATACAACAATGGATTTACAAAAGTTTTGGTTACCTGTAGACCTGCCTGGAGGTGCAGGCCTTGACTGCACTGGTTGGTCAGCGGGTTGTGGATTAGAGATGAGTCCACGATTTAGAACAGAAGGCTGTGTTCTTTTTGGAGGTGGCGCCTGTGAAGAACGAGTTCCGCTAAAACACCAAAATGGATTTGTTTGATTAATGGATTTGTTTGTAAATGCTGGACTAAACTTGAAGTTTAATTTTTTTGCAAAATGAAGTGGGTTGGGTGACCTTTCACATAAATCTCCCGGAATTATATCACAACAACTTTGGTAAATAGTTTACGCTTGTCCTAGGTTAAAGATGTGTTTAAATTTTGGTTTCGATTAGGGATATATCAGGAAAGTATAGGATTCGATTAAGATTATAAGCAGGGTGTCCACCCTTTGGTGAATGTGAAATTTCAAGCACTTTTCCAGGACTTTCAAGGCATTTTTTCAGTAAATTCAAGGACCTAGAAGTGTATCTTATATAATCAGACCTAGAAGTGTATCTTATGTTGGCACAGCTGGAGGTTAAGGAAATTAATTCCAGGACTTTCCAGTCCTGGAATTATTTTTTTTCCAATTCAAGGACTTTCCAGGATTTTCAAGGCCCGTGGACACCCTGTATAAGGATTAGTTGACGATATTTAAGTAGCGGTGGACTCGAGGGGCCAGGGGGAGCAAATATCCCACGCCACCACAAAAATTTCTGAATGATAGCTGAATAACTGTGAAACAAAGATGTAACAGTAATTTGCAATCATCAAAGCATTGGTTGGCTATAAAATTATAAATAACGCTATACTTTATATTGCATGAAATTTAAGGCAAAAAGTCTATTGAACTGAGATTTCTAGCTACAAAACGTTGTACTCGAAGAAGTGCTCCTTGTATTTTTCGGGTAGTTGTTTCCCTATCAATCCGAAGCTTATTGGCACTATACCTAAACTGGCACAGGCCGTTCAAAGTCATATGTTAGTAATCTAATTCGCCTCCCCCCCGGAAAAATTCTCTAAGTATCTGCCACTGTTAAGTACTACTGATTGTTAATATGGGGAATTGAGTAACACTTACGTAGATCGACGTACGAACTTGTAATGACTAAGATTGTCTTGAATTTTGCGTCGTTTGATGTACACAAGAACCGCAACCCCAATCAATATCAGCAAGAACAGAGGAATAAGAACAGCGGCAGCAACATTCACACCGCCACCACCACCTACGGAAGAAATAAATAGTAAATGAGAAATGGCTGACACTTAAATAGCGAACTTTGACTTCTTGTAATCTTGTTAAGAAAGGTACCCACTGGCCAATTTTCCTGCCAGTGGTTGTCGAGAAATTCAGCAGAAGGCTTACAACATATGGAAAATATATTGTAATATATGTAACATAATAAATGTGAAGTAATGAACTATTTCCCAACTTGTTTTAAGAGCAATTATATCCATGAGTCCGACAAACATATAGCACGGGAAGTATAGGACGTAAGCGATTTTTTTATGGTGGTTTAATGTTTCAGAATAAATTATACTGGAAAAAAAATTAATGCGTTTTTGAACAGACCAATGAGATTGTAGAATTGATCAGCTGAATCCAGGGCCATTTTCGCAGACCTTCAGCCGTGAGGCAAAACGCCCTGGGGATGAGGTTGGCATGCAAATCAGTCTTTACTCACTGCAGACACTTTATTACATCGGGTTATCATACCTTTCTTGCCTGCTTGACATCCCTGTCCGCTATCCACACTTCCCCCCTGATCTGGTCCGACTTCTAGGCAGTCTGGACACGCGTAGCCGCTGTCGCAGTGACAATTTCCTTTGTTGTTGCACACCTAATGCACAAATAATAAAAATAACAACTTTAATGACGGACTTTGTTTCGTTGCTTGTCTTTTCAGGTTTTATAATATAATTCGGGCACAACTACTATCATTATGGGAAAGTAAACTAGTGAGTCAATTCTCTTGTCTGCTATCTGTTAATTATAACAACGTCAACGTTATATCAGACTGAGTATAGCCAAAAAGAGTTATGCCAAGCTGAGACGAAAACAGGTCGGCAAATTTAAGTTTCCAATAAACCTGTATAGTAACATTCCCCTGACATTCATGACCGTAACCAACTTACGACAAAAACATTTGTTTGCTCTCACGCAAAGTTTAGCACACAGTTTTTGAAACTTTGAATAGTGGCAACAAAATACAAATTAACGTCCAGGGGCCGGTTATACAAAGGCCGGCCCCAACATTTTCCCTTGACGTTTTTGCGCTCTTCGTCATCCAGCAGCATTGTTAAAAGAACTATAACACCTTTTTCTTCAAGCTAGATGGCATTTGCTGTAGTCTCTTGCCCACCATATTTAACTATAGTTTATAATTCCTGTCATACGAAACGCATCACGGTCACAGAATGTTGCAGCGATTTGTTTCGAGAAGTAATTTGTCGCAACCTATATCGTCGCAATTAATGGGCTCATGTGAATTGTCGCCTGCGATTTGTTGCAGCGACGTGTCGCACGAAAAATTTAACCTAGAGAAGGCTAAACCCTTAATAGGCCTTAAGCCTCGTTCCCTAAATTCCGGGAAAGTGCCTGAGAACGAGAGGCCTTCGCTCGAAACGCCCAGATTTTACTTGTATTTTTTCAGGTATTTCAATCCCTCTCAATCACGAAGCAGTTTTCTGGTGTTGTTGTCACCACTACCTATATGGTGGCTACCTACCCCGTTTCCTGAACAATTATTGGGACATTTGTCTCTAGCAAAAATTGGAATAGCTTCGCTAACAGGAACACATCTGCTGTTCATACACATCTAAGAAAGAAACAAGACAATTATCTGTAAATTTTAATCCGGCATCATAAAACCATCACAAAAACATGTCATATGTCAATATAGTGAGGATTGGCGTCTTTTTGACGAAACTTTGTCTCCAAAGCAATGTCTTCTGTTACAAATATGAAATTTTCTGTCTGCGAAAGAGCATGGTGAAATCGACAAGTCTTTCGATTGCGGTAGATTTTGTTTCAGTTCACAAGAGCATGGTTGGATGAGAACATCAAAATCTGACTAGTAAGCCAAACTAGACTACAACCAGGCCTATGTAAACCCCTATGCTTGCAGAGTTCAGGGTTTCCAATATCCATCAGCAGGTGTTTGACATTATTATAGGCGGCACAATAGTAGGCCCATACTCCATACGACCCTAACAAAGTAACAACTAAGGAGTCGGGGTTTCGCACCGAGAATGTTTTTGGACTTAAAAACCTCAACCCTCTTAACAGTACCATCCACTTAACAATAGCTTTACGTAAGTTCTTTGTATGATTGCATGGTGATAAAATATATAACACTTTTTTTTATTAACTTTACAATCAAATGACCGAAGGTAAGGACAACATGACGTGAGTCCTTAATTAAGTCCCACCAAAAACGTACATTACATAATTACTTATAGGTATTACAAGAATACATATTATATACATAAACAATAGGACATACAACAATTATAATTACATCTATGAACAACAGATTGTATGTAAAGAACGACATTTGCTGCATACAGTTTTCCATGTTCTAGGACGGTCTACATCAAAAGTACTATTCAGCTTTCTAGTGTAATATATATATAGTTTAGATTTAAGTATGGCGACTGACGAAGATGATTTGATATCAGACGGTAAATTGTTCCATAAAAATACAATTCTGTTAAAGTATGAGTTTCGGAAAAGGGAGGTTTTGCACAGGTTTGGACGAAAATCACCAGAACTGGAACGAGTGGAGTGGTGAAGAGGTTGGGTTATATACTGATTGATGTCAATTTCGTACATCCCGTATTTACATTTGTAGAGTAATTTTTTTGTTTGTGGAAACACCACGTAAATTTATTAATGCAAAGCTTTCGATCCGTAAGCCCGGATCTTCATCAGTGCTAATAACACAGAATAGAAAATACAACCAGAAGTCTCACTGTACGCCTTTCCTTAACATTTTCGTGTCCGCAATTTTCGCCTTGCGCATCACGAATTTCGCACGCTAGATGACGTGTGTGACACTTGCTGCGAACATCACGTCAGCGTTCGTCAGCATCAATTCCTCACATCAACGGTTTTTCTCGAAAAACATGCTCACGTATTATCTAGTGATCAGGAGGGAAAGCCATTAGATAATACGTGGCGTGCTCTCTTTAATGTGCAAAATGAATTTCTCTTGTCCTGGACGCGCGCGCGTTAACTGGAATCACTTCACTACGTTTGGAATGACGTGGTTGATGCGCCGTTTAATTAAACTTCAAATGACGGGAGCCAACAGATCACGACACTGTTGTATATAAAAGAGCGTGTGAATTAAACAAGTCATATTATTAGCACCACAGAGTAGAGACATATGTCTTTATCTACTCTGTGTTAGCACAGATGAAGATCCGGGCTTACAGATCGAAAGCTTTGCATTAATAAATTTACGTGGTGTTTCCACAAACAAAAATAGCTTTACAGTCGATGTCACGAAACGTTGACCACGAATGTTCCGAACTTCGTTGCGAAGTTCGGAAGTTCATGTTGGAATTCACAAGCCAATTTGTAAATAAAGTCCCTGGTTGGTCCCCGAAGTAAAATAAGCCAATCAAATGCATAGTTTACAAATTGGTTTGAGAATCTCATTATAAACTTTTGAACTTCGCAACGAACTTGTCAATTACGCAACGAAGTTCGAAACATTTGTGGTCAACGTTTCGTGAAATCGACTGTAAAGTAAAATATATAAGTATACAAAGGCTGTCCACGGCCGAAATAAAAATAATTTAAATAATAGGCTAGTGATTATCTGATTCTGACATACATGTATCTCTGTACATTCAGATTCTTGATCTAAACTACATAAAAGCAGAACTAACTGCTTTTATTTCCCCTAAAAATCTCATTATCAGATACTTCGCTACGACAAAGTTGTAGAATTTCAATAATGACGACTAACACGCGAGCACAAAGAGAGAAATCGAGGAGATCTCGTGGAGATCTCAAAACCCTAAGAAATTGAGGATATCTCGAGATCTCAAAACCCTAAGATTTATATTTCTTAAAATACGAGGAATCTTACTTTTCCTTCAGCGCATTTTGTGCCATTTTCAACATACTGTGGATCAAGGCCATCTCCCCATGTAAAAATAGGAGTACTACAAGAGACAATTGATCACTAATTCTTAAATTTAACAATATGTTCCACGAAACAATTTTTGCTATAATTTGCAACGCATTTTCGAACACAGAGACATTTAATTGAAAAGTGTTCAAAGAGAAACGATGAACAAGGTTTGTTTTCCACTTTCTTGATTTTTTTCAATCATTCATTTCTCTGTGGTATGTTATGTACAAAAATTCGACGGATATAAAACTTGACCCAGGCTTTCCATTTTTCTGTGAATACCTTAACATGACATTGTTCTGTGTTAGAAAATGTAATTGCCTCGTGTTTCATTGCTTTCGGTTTAACATTTAGCGTCAATGTTTCACAACGCCTGCAGTGAGCGACAACGTAACAAACTTACATGCAAAAAGTCTTTCTATCATAAGTAGACCAATATCTTCCTCGGTCCTGGCCACGTATTAATTTGTGATCCTCCCTGTTTGATACACAATGGATTCTACCGCACCTTACATCCCTAAACAGTTTAAAACAAGAAAAAAATAAAATTTTCTTCACCCATCCATCTACACTTCGTTCTTTCTTTCCATCCTTTTCCTTCCTTCCATCCTTTTCCGTCCTTCCATCCTTTTCCTTCCTTCCATCCTTTTCCTTCCTTCCATCCTTTTCCATCCTTCTCCATCCTTCTCCATCCTTCTCCATTTTTCTCCATCCTTCTCCATCTCCATCCTTCTCCATCTCCATCCTTCTCCATCTCCATCCTTTTCCATCTCCATCCTTTTCCATCTCCATCCTTCTCCATCTCCATCCTTCTCCATCTCCATCCTTCTCCATCTCCATCTCCATCCTCCCATCCTCCCATCCATCCTCCCATCCTCCCATCCATCCTCCCATCCATCCTCCCATCCGTCCTCCCATCCATCCTCCCATCCGTCCTCCCATCCATCCATCCATCCGTCCTCCCATCCATCCATCCTCCCATCCATCCATCCATCCTCCCATCCATCCATCCTCCCATCCTCCCTCCCATCCTCCCTCCCTCCCATCCTCCCTCCCATCCTCCCACCCTCCCGTCCGCCCGTCCTCCCGTCCGTCCTCCCTCCCGTCTTCCCTCCCGTCCATCCTCCCTCCCGTCCGTCCTCCCTCCCGTCCGTCCGTCCTCCCGTCCGTCCATCCTCCCGTCCGTCCGTCCGTCCTCCCGTCCGTCCTCCCGTCCGTCCGTCCTCCCGTCCGTCCGTCCTCCCGTCCGTCCGTCCTCCCGTCCGTCCGTCCTCCCGTCCGTCCGTCCGTCCTCCCGTCCGTCCGTCCTCCCGTCCGTCCGTCCTCCCGTCCGTCCGTCCGTCCTCCCTTCCGTCCTCCCTTCCGTCCTCCCTTCCGTCCTCCCTTCCTTCCTCCCTCCCTCCCTCCCTTCCTTCCTCCCTCCCTTTCTCCCTCCCTTCCTCCCTCCCCCCTCCC